AACAATTACTATGAAAGTATTTTTAGAAAAGGCACAGGGAAGCTATGTTATTGTGATAGGAATGTCACTGAAGTCAAGATGGCAGGTCAGACGTTTTGATCTGTTTTTAGCAAGTGGGTCACTAGAAACAGAAATTTGCTAACCAATAATGTCTGGCGCAAATAACAAAAAAAAAACCCGCTGAATCAAATGCATTTTTGAACATATACTAAACAACTGACCTGCTTAATGCTTAATTAATGTTTAATTAAAAGAATATAAGAAAAAAAAAGCATTATTAAGGAGTGAGAAAAATAAAAGAACAGAAATTAAGACGACAGAAGATAACGATTGACATTGCATTTCAATTTTTGAAGATCAAAGTTGAATTGAATGAACTCTTTGCTATGGTACCTGGACTTTATGAATTTAAGCGCAGTACTTGATTGGCGACAAAATCTCAAGTCGCAGTCAGATTGGCTATAGATCTAACCGTAAGTTCTATGCTAACAGTTTCTGGATCTCTTAATTCGCCCCAAATAAAATTACTTATCGCAAATATTAATTCACCCCAAGAAATTATTAAAAAAAGTTTGTTGGGTTTTTTTATTAAATTTTTGGCGCTCTTTTAAAATTATAAATTTGAAATCAAAATTTAGTTTACCATGACGTTGTCAAATAGAACAGCTTCCATATTATTGGACACAATTCGAAGCTGTGTTTTAGCTGAGGCTACGATTATTGCAGTTCTTGAAGTGATGTGTTTTTTGTTATTTGGTAAAGATCTAAAGGATTTTCTTCTTTAAGAATTAAAGGATTCAATCGATTGAAATCATTGATCTGATCTGAGAAAATGATTGCATCAATATTTGCTCATTTACAACTCTTCTTTGTGGTAATTGTTTTTACATTTTTTTCCCTCAAAATTGTCAAGTAGGTTAGCCCCGCTCCCCACTACGGTTTTCCCGAGCTTCGCTAGCATTTTATATGCCATGTGAGCGTTAGGTTCTCCGAGGTTTATAAAATGTTTTCTTTTAAAAGAGTTTATCAAGAAATTAGACTTCTTTAGTTCCCTAGCTGTTATGGTTTTTTCTCGGATGGATTGAAAGAGTTTTCTTCCTAACATTTTGTTTTTGATAGTATGGTAGGCTAAAAACTTGATTATATCTTGATTTTTCCTTTTGTTTATTTTGGACTTGTGACAATATTTTTTAATCCGTTATTTTATGCTATAGTAGATGCATGAGATGTTGTTTCCATTACTAGAATGAAATATACAAATATATTTTATATATGTTGTATATTTAAATTGAATTCAGATATCAGAATATAAGTCATCTCTAGTGTAATTCCAAAATATATTGAAAAGAAAAGAAATCTAAAAATATATTTCATATCAAGTGTATGGGAAAAATATCAAAATATATACGAATTTTAGTATTTATGAATTTACAGTACTAGATTGGCAGATAGGTCTCATCATTTTAAAATGAAATTGCAAAATGTAATCGTAAATTCTATAATAACAGTTGCTTTTCTCGCACTTATCGCTTGTGTAACTCCAGCTTCTTGCTTTTCAGTCAACTTTGATCTTCAGAAATATAAATCAAATGTCAATCGTTATCTTCTGTCTTGTTCTTTTATTCTCTCTCTCTCTCTCTCTCTCTCTCTCTCTCTCTCTCTCTCTCTCTGCTTAATAGTAATATGTGTGTGTGTGTTTTTGTGTGTAAAGACAAAAAGAAAACTTATCTTAGCCGACGCATTTCGTCCTTTGAAGAAATTTATCAAGGTAATGTGCCTTGATAAATTTCGTCAGAGGACGAAACGCGTCGGCTAAAAAATAAATTTCCTTTTGTTTTTATTCATATTGTCCTTTTACATATATACTCGATCCGACCTTTTAAACACACGCACACACACACACACACACACACACACACACACATATATATATATATATATATATATATATATATATATAATTTATTCGAAAATTATAGCACGTTATAAAATCACTACTTAAATAGCCATTTTGTTTCAACACTTCTGGTGTCTTTTCAAGTGATGGTATTGATTCAACACTATTAAGGCACCAGAAGTGTTGAAACAAAATGGCTATTTTTGTAGAAATTTTATAACATATTTATGTCATATTTTTCGAATAAATTATATTTGCACTACTCTGTATTGACCACACTTTTAAGAATAGCATTTTATTTTTGGTTATTGGAATTTATTCCGTATATACCAACCCTATACTTGGGTATATATATATATATTCATATATTAAAACATTTATATTTGGTACATTCTAATATCTGGTTCCTAAGAAAAGAATGAAATATCTAGATATATCTCTGGTGTCTGTCAAAAGAATGGTTTTAATTGTCTTCCGTTGAATCCTCAGTAATTCATTTAGCACTTGTCTTCGACAACTTCTCCACTATAACACTTGTGAATAGGAATGGAGTTCTGGGCTGGCGGCTTTTAATCAGATATTCTATATATGGAACTGGCGCAATGCCTAGCATCACAAGGAATTCATTTAACTTTGTTAATCATGTAATATTAAAGCGTGACACTTTACGAGAACTGATTGCAACGTTTGTTGTTCAAGGCGAGCACAAACGGTGTCTGGTGTTTGAGACTGTGTTTAACCTGAATTCCTGAGTGGATTCTTCTAAACCAGAGATGAGTGAAGAGAACCTCTGCTGCATGGAGAATGCAATTTCGAGAGCTTATGTAGACATCCTAGAAGAAACAACTTTATTCACTATTAATCACAACTTGAAAAGATATTAAATCTCAGTAGATAGGTTGTAAATAGGACAAGAACCGTGATTATTTTTTTCAAGATACTGGAACAAGAAATGCTATTTTTATTTGCATTATTTACACGCAGACTATTGTTGTTCTTATCACAACGTTTCGGCCGTTACCCCTCCGGCTTTCCTCGGGTGTTTGTCGATCCGGATAACGCTCAGGGGATTTCGAACTGACCGCTTTATTTAATCCACATAGATTAAATAAATAAAGATAAATGATAACAGCGCGTCCACAGCAGTAGAAAACCCCATCTCTAAAGAGGGGGTTTCTACTGCTAAAACACCCTAGATTAACTGGGCCTAAGAAACGTGTACGGAAGTATACATCTCCTAGGCTCTGTTTGTCTAGTCCCTGTTGGCGTGCAGCCGCTCAGTTCTGACCCCGATATCTCAATCCTCGTATGGCTATTAGTTAAGGTGAGTTCTACAGCTTTCAACCGTCCTGTCGCCTTGGTGTGTCGCCTTGACGTGGTAGGACGGCTTGTGTGCTTCAACAACCCCAGAGTTATGTGGGCGGGGGCTTCGGCCCTTAGCAAATCCAACCAAGCTCTAAAGGTCTGTGGGGTAGGAGCAAGACGAAAGACACACCTTGGTCCTTCAGGTTGGGGGTTGGGTAGTAGGTTACTCACTTAAAAATTAGCTTGTTACAGAAGCCTCAACGATATCTTCAAACAACGACATGGCTGAGAAAAAGTCCTCCAAAGTGGAGCGTACTGGTGAAAATCTCCCGGGAAGGCAGCCAGCACGACTTGGGCCGAACTGAAGAGGATTACCCGGAACTGCATCCGTTGGAGAGATGTTGTTGCGGCTGTATGTTCCGCAAGGAATTGAGAAGCATAATGAATACAGCTTCCAAACTGGTTTAGAGATTGGTGCCAATATAAATCGTCGATTGTCCAGTCTTGGTTCATCAGGTGTTATGATTCTTACTGACGAAGAAAGTGGTCTTTCTTCTTTTAATCAATAAGCCGTGGTAAACTTCTTGTTGGCGATTGGGCTGATTGGAAATAAGGTCAAACTCTCACCGAAGAAATAATGATGCCGGTTTTGGTTAAATATGGACGATTTAATGAAGGCGAATAAAATAATTTACAATCGGATATATTTGGCATCTGTTAACACAAAAGGTTTAGAAAACGACGACTTAGAATCTCGATCTATGTGGTCAGCAAGGTTCAATCAGAAATCCAAGTGAATACTGGGTACCTTTCTCGTGTGGGTGTGCAACTGCGTGCGTGTTTGACGAGTCGTCTGTTTCTGTGGTTCTGGCCCGTCTCTCGCTGTGTCCTCAAAATCGAGCTGTATTTATAAATAATTCTCCGCGTGCATATCAAATTGTTCACACGCCAAAATAACTCAATTTTCCATTGTTTAAAGTCGGAATTAAAAGACCAAATCCTACGTTTTGATTTTAGTCTATATCATTTAGTGCCAGATTTGGTTGACATATCCGTCAGAAACGAAATCAAAAACTTATGCTCTAATCTGTCCAATTCGAGGTCATACCTGACCTCTCGACAACTATTCCTGCCTGTGAAAATTAATACAGGCTATATAATAAGGCACACCAATCCATTCCAAATCTTTGCCTTGAAATTAAAAAAAAGAAAAAAAAACTACGATATCTGCCAATAACAATTTTCCTTGTTATAGCAGCAACAGGAATGAGAAGCCTTGGTGAGTTCAGTCATGCATGTCAGGGAGCAATAGCAGCACTAATCAGCAGCCAGTTTAGGTTTAAGACTCCAAGTTCTCCACACAGGATTGTTATATGGGACAATAGTCCTGTGGATTAAAGCGTTGGCTTATGAATTTTTACAATCCCTGTACCGAGCAGTTTGTACTTGGACTCTGTAAACGGGACAAGCAGTACTAAATAAGAAGTAGACGAGATATCATGGGCAGGACAGGTCGATAACAATCTAGCGTCTTCGATTGAATAAAGGATTCAGTTTGGAAATCGCTGAAGGTGTACTTGGATCGACAATGGTCCACATATAAATAATGGGAATAATACTAACTCCTCATACCCAGAAATCTAGAGAGAAGCTATTTTAATCATTGGTATGCTATCTTATTTTCGAACTCATCTTATTTGGCCGTTGTATCTTCGGCCTTCTACAAGTGTCTTTCGATCCTGGTAACTTTCAGGAAATGTCGAACAGAATTGAACCGAAACCTTTATTTAATCTAGGCTTACGGCCATACTAAGCTGAAACACCTGTTCCTGTATGATCAGTGAAGTTAAGCAATGTCGAGCCTGTTCAATAACTTGATAGGTGACCACTTGAGAATAGAAGGTGCTGTAAGCTTAGATGAGCTGGTGGTGAATGGATAATGGCTAGGAATTGTTATATCGGAGAGCCGAGTTCAATTCCAGTTCTAGTTGGGTTCGTTATATTCATTTACGCACAAATACTCTTGGGAAATATATGAATCTACCTTCTCCCTCTGGCTATGGGTTAATTAGTAAGATTTGTATCATCACTAAACCATTATTATCTAAAGAATATTATGATCTAAAAATATTTTCTGGCTTTAAATAACCTGCGAATAGTTGATAAGCTATAAAAACAATTCAATCAAATTTATTTAATCTACACGGTTAATTATTATTGCATTGATGTCTTTTTGTTTCGTTTTTTTTACTAGTATTCACTGGATACAAGGCCTAAGAGCCACTCAATGTCGAAGGTTACTGTGTGATGCTGCATGAGCGTAAAAAAAAACAAAACGTGAAGTTCTTGAAACAATGCAGCAAAGATAAAGTCTAAAGCATTTATTTAGTGAATAATATTTCAGATTTCAACAGGAGACGTTAGAAGTATCGCTTGGAAGTAGACTTTAAAAAGAACCGGAACCCCAACCCTAAACAGGAAACAAGGGATAAACCTCTACTCTTGTTCAAAAAACTAGAGTTCTTTCAGGCAGAATATATATATATATATATATATATATATATATATAAAAAAAAACAGACCATTTTAAGGTACCATTACAATAAAATTACAATTATTGTAATGGTACCTTAAAAGTGGTCTGTTTTTCATTAAAAATTAGCTCTGGATTCACATTGAGCTCTCAGGATTTCATCCTCCTTGGAATTACGCATTCGGTTTCCAAAGTTTTCTTAGTATATATATATATATATATATATATATATATATATATATATATATATATATATAAGTAAGTGAACATTGAAGTCAACATCCTGTCGCCTCTTAGTGTTGATTTCAATATTCACTTTTATATTTATATTTACATACGCTCTATCTCTGATATTGAGCACTTTATTTCTTCATATAAATATATATATCTATATACAGGGTGTCCCAAAATAATGTATACACTCTTTGAATCGTTACAACTTATTCAATTTATGTATTTTGACTTGTAAATAAGATTAATACAAGAGAAAGAATACACATTTAAAGAATTTGAGAGTAAAATATACAAAAAACATAGAAAATTAACTTTAATAAGATAAAAGCTACTAAGGGCAATGGCAGAATGTTCATATAATGATGAGTTTACATCAAGTGCTAAAAATGGTTGCCGTTCTGTTCAATACACTTTTCATATCTTGAAACGTCCAGTATCATTTCCTTTGGTATTTGAGCACATTCTTCTTCAATTGCTACTCTCATTTCAGTAATTGTTTCAGGTTTCCTGCTGTAAACTTTGTCTTTTAGAAACCCTCAACAAAAAGAAATCTAAGGGTGTCAAATCTGCTGATCTAGGTGGGGATTCAACTGTCCCTCTTCTTCCAATCCATCTGTTTTGTATATTTTCATCCATATATGTTCTCACATTACGGTAATGTGTTATTAACTATTAATATTTAAAGAGTGTTTACAGTACTTTGGGACACCCTGTATATATATATAAATGAACATTGAGGCCAACACCAAGCAGCGACAATCTGTTTTATATTTGAAAGCAATCTTCAGTCATAGTTGTAGTATTAATTACAGATTGACTCTGTAGGTTTAAAAAAAAGCAGGTATTAACTCACCACTCTAGCAGACGGTAATACTCGGAAACAAGCAGACCGCCATTAATTGACTAAGTTATTATTTTGACTTTAATATTAATTACTTTTAATACAAGTGTTATCCTCCTTGCACTGGGATTTAGATTTTTAAGCACTCAAACGTGAAAGCCGCCTAATAACAATGAGGAATTAATACAGGCCCGCCGTTGCCCCCATAAAATCATTTCCCTCAACCATTTGAAAGTGTTCTGAAATATTTCATTGTTTTGAATTTTTTAACCGCGCTTCTCAATTAATGAGTACTGAAAACAATCTAGCGACTGGCCTAACTTAACAAAACATGTCGTCAAAATTCTGACATGGGCAAGCTAGTTTCCTGCTAAAAAAAAATAAAAGTATAAACACGGTGTATGCAATTATATAAATTACAGTTTTTTTGCTTACCTTTAAACAGGTCCTTTAATGACACCTCAGGTTATTAAAACAAAATATTCTTGCCAAGTTTAAACGGGACAACACGAAGTTGTTGTCGCTACGATATATCAACATAACCTTTAAAATGTCTTTCCAATCATCTAAAGAAAAATAGACCAGTCAATGTTGATGGAGTTTAAAAATTGTTTATACAACTGATGATAGCTTAAACATCAAAACAGACCTATGTAATGAGTATACGGTGGCAACTATAATTTTGCATTACCAGATCTTTTATATATATATATATATTTGGTTGGATAGATGTGAGTTTGTGACCCTGGGTTTCACGCTTTAGCGATCGTCAGACAAACTGATTAATGTTTTAAAAAGTTTAGGTTTATGTAGATTGCGTGTATTGGTGTTATTGGGGAAGTGGTAGGGGAAACTTCGTCGCTTATGTCATCGTACTAACGCAAACATCGATGTATGCAGACACATATACATACTTGGTCGTCCGTCGGGACTCATACATATATAAACAAATATGGGCAGTTTCGGATATGACATATGTATGTATACGGGTGGTGTTATGTCTATACATACGCATCTATCCAACCAAATATGTTAGCTCTATCTCTGATATTGAGCGCTTTCTAATAAGTACCACGCATATAATATATAAATAATTATACATATATATATTTATTTATATTTATATACACTTTTCACACACACACACACACACACACACATATATATATATATATATATATATATATATATATATATATATATATATATATATATATATATATATATATATATATATATATATAAACTAAAATTCGAAAGTATAACTTTGGGAAGTGAAAATAAAATTTCACTGAAATATGTTTGGAACATTTCTAAATTGATATCTAAAATCAAGAAAATGCAAAATGACTGCAAAGTATGGATAACGAAAGCGTCAATTAAAACTGACACCAGGTAGATATGATCCGATGTTTTAAATAAAGCAGATTCTAAAGCTTTACACACGTTTTTGTTTTCTTAAATACAAGTTGTTCTTCCTTTGCTTAACGTTTTAATAAAGTGACTTATAAATAAGGTCTAGGTTTTGGTCGTCAGAAAAAAAAAGAAATGTAAAGTAGCAGACGACAATTCCACCATGATGTTTGTCAATGACATGTTGAAGAAGAATGAAAAGTAGAAACCGCATTTCTCCACAGAAAAAAAAAGATATTTTTGCCTATTATTAAATTGATTCGCTTCATCACAAATACCTCGAATCAGTGTTCCTTATCAAGACGACCTCGCCATAACTACTTTGAGATGTTTAAATTCATATCCTCTTGACGTCAGTTTAAGCTGAAATTCTCTCAGAAATTACTAGAAAGTGAAAATATCACTGGAATATGTTGGAACATTTCCAAGTTTTCATTTGAAATAACTAAAAGCTTGGTTCGAACATCACTGGGTGCTCTATACTCGCTATCTTTTGTCACATTTAAGCCACGCTTTGTAAATTATTATATCTACAAACTTTGGGCTAAATGGTCACATTATATGGAAAAAAGAACACGCGAATTTGGACTAACACTGTCAATATCACAAATAAAAAGCATATGTTAACTCCCTACAATCAAATTGTTCGCAGTGCGAGTAGCATTTACTTAACATTTATTTAGATAAACATTTAATTCAATTACTCAGCAAATAACCTCATTTTTTATTTTTCCAAATTAAAGTTATTGTGTTCAGCGCCTTGTCTGGAATATAGTATAATTGTTACTAAAAATCGATTTTTCTTCTGTCTGTCAAGAAATAGAAAATGCCGTGAATAAACCACGGTTTCTTCCCACTTACATTGTGAATTAATGAATACGTCTTGTTCTAGATGTCTAATTTGGAACACTGAAATGATCTCTTAATTATTTCCTGCAATCAAATTTTTAATAGACATCTATGGGGCATTTTTTTTTTAAACTCATTCATATCTATCCACCTTGTCCTTTTCGCATCTATTTATCTATCTCAGTCTATTCACACCCATCTATCTGACTATGTAGCTATCTATCTTTGCCCTTTACGCATCTATATGTCTATCTCAGTCTGTTTACATCTATCGACCTATCTATCTTAGGCTGTTCACACACACACACACACACACACACACACACACATATATATATATATATATATATATATATATATATATATATATATATATATATATATATACATTAGTCTGTTCTTATATATTGAACTATTTACCTGTATATTTCTGTCTGTTCATATGTCTCTATCTATATCGGCCTTTTTTCGCATCTATCTCAGTCTGTTCATATCTATCTATCTATCTATCTATCTATCTATCTATCTCTCTCTCTCTCTCTATATATATATATATATATATATATATCAGTGTGTTCCTATATATTGGCCTTGTCGCATCTATCTGACTCAGTCTGTTCACATCTATCGACCTATCTATCTCAGTCTGTTCATATCTATCTATCTATCTATCTATATATATATATATATATATATATAGAGAGAGAGAGAGAGATAGATAGATAGATAGATAGATAGATAGATAGATAGATAGATAGATAGATATGAACATATATATCAATCTTTCAGTCAGTTCATACACATTGACTTAATTATCTATTTCAGTCTGTTCATATCTGTCTATAGATCTATGTCAGTCTATTCATATCTCTCCCTTTATCTATCTCTCTCTGTCTGTCTGTCTCTCTCTCTCTCTCTGTATATATATATATATATATATATATATATATATATTCACGTCTGTTCCATTCTTCTTTCCTATCTATCTAAATCATTCTATCTATGTCTATCTGTTTATCTGTGTCTGTTCATTTATTCCTTGTTTCATATCTATCAATCTAAGTTAAATTCGCATCAATCTATCTATCTATCTATCTCAGTCTATTCACATCTATCTGTCTGTCTACCTTTCTCAGTCTATTTACATCTATCTATCTATCTGTCTGTCTATGTCTATCTATCTCAGTCTATACATATCTATCTTTCTATCTCAGTCTATTCACATCTATCTATTTATCTATCTATCTATTTATCTCAGTCTATTCACATCTATCTATCTAATTATCTCAGTCTATTCACATATATCTGTCTACCTATTTATCTATCTATCTCATCTATTCACATCTGTCTAGCTATGTTCAGGCGAATACTTATGATAACCTTTCTCCAACTATTTCTATCCTCCCTAGCTCTATCCACTTCTTCCTATCTCATTTCGATGTCGTCTATGTTGATTGATGATGTTTTTTTTTTGTTTATCTACCTTTTGATCCTTATCCAAAATTTAGTCCCCATAGAGTAAGCTGGTGTATGTTTGTTTGTGCTATAATGGATGTCGGCTACGAATTAAAAATCGGAAGGACGAGCTCGAATTCCGGTCGGGTTCATTACATCCACTTTACGCGCAGATATGCAAAGACATAAACCCATCTCTTATCCCTCCAGCTATGGGTTGAATAGCAGGACAGACTGAGTTCTATAACCTTGGTTGGCAACTGGTCTACCACAGAAATAAATGGCAACCTACTGCGGGAAAATATTCTGCGTAATCAGTCATTGATCGAAAGAGACACGATCGCCCAAGCTAGCATCACATATGGCATTTGACCGACGGTTTGCTGATGCAGAAATCCTGGTTCACGAATCTAGTAATGGCCACTAAACAGACTATGTGAACGTATCGCGGAATGGGGGCGGGAGAACTGATAAAAAGAAAATCGAGGAATAGGCAGTTGTGAAGGGCTATGATTAGCCAGGTTCTGGAGAGAATGTGAATGGAAGATTTATCTATCTGATCGACCAAATATAGATAGATAGATAGATAGATAGATAGATAGATAGATAGATAGATAGATAGATAGAATAGACTGGGATAGATAGATAGACAGATAGATGTGAATAGACTGAGATAGATAGATGTGAATAGACTGAAATAGATGTGAATAGACTGAGATAGATAGATAGATAGATAGATAGATAGATAGATAGAGAAAGAGAGAGAGAGATGTGAAGAGACTGAGATAGATAGAAGATTTATCTATCTGATCGACCAAATATAGATAGATAGACGTGAATAAACTGTGATAGATAGATAGATAGATAGATAGATAGATAGATAGATAGATAGATGTGAATAGACTGAAATAGATAGATAGATAGATAGAGAGAGAGAGAGAGAGAGATGTGAATAGACTGAGATAGACAGATAGATAGAAGATTTATCTATCTGATCGTCCAAATATATCTGACCCACTTTTTCGCAACTATTCCTGTCATCCCTAGCTCTTTCCAATTTCCCGTTTACTGATTCCGGTGCCATCAATGAATTGAACAATGATGATTCTTGCTGGTCTACCTCCTGATTTTTTTTTCCAAAATTTAGATTCCACACCATAATCTAATGCAGAACTTCTTGCTTTATTTCTCCAGCAATGGCCACTACCATCGCCTTTCACAGATTCTGCCCGTAAATCTTTCTAGCTTCCCATATAGTTCATTACAAGGCATATTTTGTTTCCAGTTGACATTTAACGCTGTCCTCAATAGTCGAGTGTATGTCACATCTGGTTTTTTCTTTTTTTCCCTCGTATTTACGTTACTCTCAGACAACTTGACCCGTATTAAGATTTCAGAGGATTATTGTCCTTAAGTGTTACACTCCAGACATTTTGTTTTTGAATTGTTGGCTTCTGGATTATAATTTATGTTTTGTTGTAGTATTGCTTATTCAGTTGTAAATATAACATTATGCCGTTTTGTGGAGAGTCCAACCAGGACGCTAAATATTTTGAAAACCATTTCACCCCAAGCAAGGCAACTGAGAGACAATATGAGAAAAAGGAGAGAGAACAATAAAAGAACCGGAAATTAAGAAGACAGATTATAACGACTGACATTGGATTTAAATCTTTGGAGATCAAAGTTGACTGGAAAGCAAGAAGTCGGAAGAGAGTTTCACATACGAAATTGTGAGAGAAGAAACTTTTAGCATAGAACTTATGGCTACATCTAGCCAATTCAACTGCAAAATGACGAGACCTTGTCGCCAATCTAGTACTGCCCTTAAATTTATAGAGTCGAGTACCATAGTGGAAATTTTATCAGTAAAATTGACAAGAAACTGTTATCATATAACTTACGGTTTCATATAGCCATTTCAACTGTAAAATGATGAAACCTTGACCTTAAATTTATAGAGTCAAGGTACCATAGAAGAGAGTTCATCGGGACAATTACAATGAAAGTATTCATAGAAAAAGCACAGGGAATCTACGTTGAGACGCCGAGAAACTGACCAGATATAACAAAATCATCCAATTGATTCAGATGGTCACGTTTGAATGTTGTAAAATCTCCTACTATCACTGCAGATGTTAACAAACACGAATGAAAAAAAGGAGTCATTGACTGGTATTAGTGACATCTCAATTACAAAATTCTTGATATAATTTTAATCCTAGGTGAGAGAATGAAACAGCACAGTCTCTTCTTCTATGTACCATGACCATTCAGGCAGTGGGCGATCATGGCTCTCCTTGATGTCCTGTCCTTTGTAGCTCTTAATAAACTTTGTCTTTTTATTATCTCTCCTAAACCTTGTTCCGTCATCCATTTACTCAAGCTTGCTAGGTACATTATGTGTTGTTTTCCCCTGTTCTTCTTGCCTTCAATCTTTCCTGTGAGCATCAAAGTTTCCAAGTCCTCTTTCCTCGTTCTTTGCCCTACAAATTTCAACTGTTTCCTCCTGATATATAAGTATAAGTTTTCTTTTTGTTTCAATTTTCTCTAAAACTTCGTCGTTGTTCTCATGCTCGGTCCATGGTATCCTCAGCATCCTTCTGTAGAATCACATTTCTGTTACTTCAAGTCTCTTCTACATGTGTGAAGAGATTGCCGAGCATTCACTACCATATATATAAGGACTGGTATTACATAACAGTTCAGTACTCTTTTTTCTTCTTCTAATGAAATGTTTCTGTTTCTTAATTCATTGCTTAGCATTTGAAACATTTCAATGCACCCTTTTACACACATACATCCACTTATAGTACGTTGCCCCATTATCTGCGGTTTGAGTATCCAAAATCCAGGAAATAGTTTATAGATTTTACTTAATAATAGCACCCTTCTGTAGAACCACATTTCTGTTATTTCAAGGCTCTTCTTCATCTGTGAGATTGCCCAGCATTCACTATCATATAAATAAGGATTGGTATTACATAACAGTTCAGTATTTTTTTCTCTGCTACTAACGAAATGTTTCTGTTTCTTAATTCTCTGCTTAGCTTTTGGAAAGCATCTTTGGCTATCCAAATGCGACTGCTTATTACAGTTTCTGTCCTCTGTTCAGACCGCTACAAATTTGTTTTCTTGTTTTATCTATTGAGTTCTTTGTTTTGATGGAAGTTTGACGCCAAATAAACTTGACACATAGCACTAAAAGATGCAGTGAAAGTTTCTTAAGATGTGTCAGAGGCGATTTGGGGGATATGTCCTTTGATGAAATCGCAGACACCGACAGTTTAGAAGATTGTTGTCCGTGACATTCGCTGTCAGGAATACCCGCAGCTAACATAAACAAGAAAGCCTATCCCTTGTTTGTGATTTAGATATATAAAGATTGATCTGATCCTCAAATTCAGGCAAACAAGAGCAGAGGTCAGTTATACGCATATATACATCTTTATACGTATTTATAAGCGCTTGTGTGCAGACATACGCGCGTACACAGTAACAAGTACACTCAGAGATATGCCGAATAGCATGAGCATTGTACTAAATCCGTTCGTGTCGCACTACTTTTGCTTTGTTCTAAAGACGCTAGACTAGACGTAAATAAATTTGTATATAACAGCTGGGTGCGATGACTTCATAGGTCGTCACGCTTCCTTGATCTCTATTGTAACGAGTTCCCAAATAAGCTCTCTCTTTCTTATTCAAAATCTCTCTCTCTCTCTCTCTCTTTCTTTGCGCCCCCCTCCACACACACATACATACTAATGGAACAAGGCACCTCGACGTGGTGTGATGGCTAGCAAGCTTGTCTGGCTAGAACCATTACGTCTGAGTAGTGAATTCAATCCTCACTGGGTGCCCCATGCTTTCAGCCATGTTACACATCTAATTTGCGCTTAGAAAAGATATTTTCGGCCTTGTGCCACATCTAAGCTACGCTTGGGAAATTACTACATTATTATGAAACACATATATACATACATACTAATAAAATAATAAAATACTCATAATAATGACGAAGAAAACGTTTTACGATGACGCATTTTGCATCCGAGAAATTGTATCAAAGGAAAATGTAGAAATTTCTTTTTTAATCATTTAACCCCCCCCCCACCAAGCAAAGCAACAAAGCCACTAACACGCAGTGGTTTACTGAAAGAATATAAAAAAAAACATTATTAAGTATAACAAAAAAAGAACAGAAATTAAAATGATAAAAGTTATTGATATTACATTAACTTTTTTTAATCATTTCACCCCAAGCAAGGCAATAAAGCAAGTAAAACGCAAGTGGTCACTGAGTGCTACAGAATACGAGCGAAAAAAACATTATTAAGGAGAGAGGACGATAAAAGAACAAGATTTGAGAAGAGAGAAGATAAAGATTGATATTGCATTTACAGTTTTAAAGATCAAATTTGCCTAGAAAGCAAGAAACCGGAACAGTCCTACAAGCGAGAAGTGCAAGAGAAGAAACTGTTAGCATAGAACTTACGGCGACATCTAGCCATTTTAACTAGTACTGCGCTGAAATTCATAAAGTCTAGGTACCATAGAGGAGAGTTGTTCAGATGAATTATCACGAAAGTGTATATAGAAATGTTTAAAGGGAATCTACATTACAGTGATAGAAAAATGACTGAAGCCCAGATGCCAGGTCAGAACTAATGACATTGCAGATACTTCTTTGGATTTTATCAATGATCTCTAAATATATATAGCGACGTACCAGACTATATGTGGCAGCAACATTCTAAGCAGGGACGTACGGTAGATTTGTAAATATATAGGATAGATTCGGCCGACAAAATTGTCTAGTCCGACATATAGAACCAACTTTCCTCTCAGCAGACTTAACACTTGTTTATTGAGACATCTATATTTATACACAGAGAAGAGATAGTGTTGAGAAAAAAAATAACATTATGTTTGAATGTATAACGTTACATTTTTTTCGATAAAGTTATTCGAATTAAAAAAAACGTCCCAAAATATTCGAAAAACGCTCGATATTAAGGTAAGGAAATTATGGAAGACACTAAGTGATATGAATTTTGATATTTTGTTAAATGAAATTTAATTAATGTTGTTATTATCATTATTATTTTGATGATGCGTGTATAATACACATACACCAGTAATTGTGAGATCAATCCCTGAGCCAGACAGTGTATTCTTAGACTCAATGGAGACAGACAGGAAATAATTGAACAATACTAAAAATAAGAACGGGACGAGATATTCCTAGATGAGAACAGTGTACACTCGTATAACACCTTTTGGCCACCTACTACACCCGATGTTTTACTCACGTGTAGTGGTCCGGTTCTCAGGGTCTTCGGAGGGCGTTTTAACGACAGGGCTAACTCTGCGCTGGTCAGTGCTGACGCTGGTCCAAGGTAGTTGTTCATCGCTGGCCGATCATGTTCATGATCAATGAGTAGTGGAAGATCGAAGGTCGTAGTAATTGCAGCGCTGGTTCAAGCCGTGGCGTGTGCCACGTTAAGGAAGAAAAATATCTTCATGACGAAAAATAAATAATATAGATTCATGGGATTAATCTTCAGTTCATCCATATAGCTCTTCTTACAGTATAAAGTAACCCTTCCTGCATCAATCTCTATATTGACACTGAGCCTTGTCTAAATTTCTGGAGGAGTTGGGTTCAAAGTTCTTGGAATGTGATTATCTGGTGGCAGCTAACGTAGATTCCAGAGGGACTCGATGTGGGTCCCCAGCCCAACTCTCTGAACTAACCAAATCATTAGCTTCAGCTTTCGAGAATTATCCCTTTTCCTTGGGAGTAGTCACAAGTCTTGCTCTTCTCATGACTCCAACTTGCTTCACTTCACATCTCGCACCACTACTCCACGTAGGCGGGCTAAATTCTGCCTCCTCTTCCTTCTTTCTCGGTATTCTAACTCTTCCCACCTTTCAGAGCTGATGTAACTGTATTT